ACTGTCATAAAAATGAAATGTTTTGAGAACTGAGCATTTTTGCTAATCTTGTGTTTACATTTGGTCACTCTATGAAATACACAAAGCTGCCAGCAATTTTTTAAATCGTAAAGTAGTCTGCTTCGAATGATTTTTTTTTTCATTTTGTCAGAAGAATTTAAGCTAGCGAAGTGTGAAACATCGGAGAGGGATTTTGAAAAGTGACAACGTTTTTTCCCTTCTTATTAAGCAATCTTCGATGCACAATTTCTTATATTAGCAAAGAGGAAACAAGTAATTTTTTCTAATATATAGATTTCCATACTAGTTTTCCATTTCGGTGAGACAAATATCACAGAGCTCAATCTTTGTGGAAATCTATTGCTTAACGGCACTATTATACAGGTAATCTAAGATGATTCCAGAGTGACTCCGAAGAGACATTTACCTGGCTTTTTCACCTTACTGAACATATCCTTAGGTATCCATGTCAAGTTCATGTTAGCATATTGAATTACTTCTTGCCTTACTGAGTGGCATTTGTTACCAGACGAGTATGCCATCTGCATATGTCATTTACATTGTAACAACTTGCCAACTAAAGCAGGGGAGTTAGGTTTCACGTGGTATTAGATCGATAAACATTTCCCCAATGCCAGAAACATCAGAGAAACATCGTTTGACCTTGCGCTGTAAACAAGACAAATAAAAACAAATATCAAATTGCTTGAAACGTCATTTATTTACAAGCAACAACATAGCAAAATCAGAGCCAGACGACGACATCAACTAACATTTAAACATTCGTGTTGATCAAATGACGTGTACTATTACTCTCAAACACCATACTGATCTCATGAAAGAAAAGGCAATTCAAACATAATTACAATCTCTATCAGTTTCCCGTCAAATGTTCACTTGACACAGATGACTTACGACTATTCAAGAGCAAAATACACTAATCTAACTTTTGTAATATCTTATGAAAATACACATATATATATATATATAATATACAATAAATATTGAAACTATTATAGTTTTAATTCTTATGTATGAATAAACAGAAGATGTCAACGAACACTTTAAACATGAACTAGAAAGTACCTACAAAGAACTGCAACATTTTATAAGAATTAATATACCATTCTTTATTCTATTAGGATAATACAAAACTTCTCACTGGTACTACATACCGTTCGTTATAGGTAAGCAGCACAACAGGGCAGGAACCGTACAAGATATTTCATGTACAGATGAATATGGAAATATTGCGGAACTATCTCAAACTACAGTCATAGTAGTACATATAATTCAGTAAGTTGACAACTTTCCTTTGCACACGTACTCCCGAGTGAGAGATATCTCTAATTCACACCACTCGGTAGTTTAAGTTGAGTTGAGTTGAGTTCATGTACATGTAGACATCTTAAGAACTATATTAACTGAAATTTGTTAGAGTGACAACTCTAGATATGCTTCGTACGGTTTCAAGACTTCTTTGGTAATATTTGTATTAAAGCAAACTACAAATTTGTGATATGTGATTATTAAAATAAAAATGTAAACTATGTACTGGATTTGGAGATTATCATTTAAATATAAATAAGACCCCCACCCCCATTATTATTTATTAGATTAAATTGTAAAAGAACAAATTTGAAATCGGGTTTAATGTATATAGTGAGCAGTTATCTAACATATTCAAAACCATCTCTTTTTCACAAATGTGTTTTATAAGACGTTCACAGAAAACACCTGTTTGAAGTTGATATTTTTCAAAAATGGATGCATAATGGATCGTGAAGAATTACATTACCCTTTTTAAAGCCCATTTCGGTATCTCAAGTCATCTATTAAACCATTCTTTTTACAAACAGAGAACCAACATTCAGAACTGAACCACGCTCAGGAACATACTAAATTCAGAGATACAAACAGTGCGATATCATAGTGGTAGCCGTAAGTTATTGATTATCGTGTGATCAACAGATTGTTACCTTCTAGGGACTGACAGATGTTTATATTTGCACACGTATCAATGACCTAATTCAGCCTGACACAACTGTCGCTGTAAGTTCACAGTTAACAGTATTTTGGTCGACAAAGAGAGTGATCATTGATGGCGTCAATGTAATGACGTAGATGGCGCATTATGTGCTTTGATAGAGAATATATGGCAATGCAGTAAATACCTAGACTTAAACAATGCTGTATGTATAAGAAATAGGACCTGTATATAAGAAATAAGACATATGCATGATAAATATTACCTTAAGATATAGGATCTTTTTATCAGAAATAGGACAAACGTGATTTTTTCCTTTAGATTTTGTGGTCGTTAACAACACCCGATTTCGAACAATTAAATTTCAGTTTTTGATTTCATAAAGTACTTTTTCACTCATCCATGATGGTCTAAAGGGGAGGACAATGCTATTGTAATTATCAACATTTTTTGCAATATCTACTTAGTAATGTATATGTATTGCAATACGATTTTTGAAATAGCAAGTGTATTGCAATATTTTTCAGCTTAATGGTTAGAGGTTAAGGCACATTTATGAGAAAGTTTTATAGAAACATAAGGAAAATTGAATAAATATTATCCAAGTAAAACTCGCTTGCTGTGATAAATAAAACAACATAATTTTCAATTGATAATTGTCTTGCTGAAATAATGCCCATAATCTTTATAAGATATTTATACGTTAGCTGAATTTCCAAGGGTATAATAGTGATATATTGCAATACTCCTTTAAATATTGTAATATATTGCAAGATAAAAACCGTTTTCAATACCCACTTATCTACACACATTTATGAATATAACAGAAGACATCAAGGTGGAGGTCACATGCGACACAGGAAATGTTTACTCATCTAGAGCAACTTGTTTTACTTCCGGGTTTTGTTAGTGTTTGTCATATTTGTTAGGTTATTTTGATGTCCATGTGGCGTCCGTTGACTTGTTGTCTGTTCGTATCGAATTTTCCTTAAATGCTGGTGTAATGACAACTTTTTTTATAACTTCCAAAAGAGGATTGAAGATCATTGATTAATCGACGAAGAAGGTATAATCCGGGAGAGAACTTGTCAACATTCTGAATCATTAGTTTGTAAATAGGAACATAAATCATGCGATACGATCACAATTTTAAATTTTTTATATACATAAAAACTCGATACAATTCCATTCGTTTCATTTGACCCCTCGCTTACAACCAATCTATTTCAAGGTACATCTTTTTCCTTTTTCCTGAATAGTTCATTTATATGTCTCCCTCGATATATCGCCAAACCCCTGTGTAACGCAAAAACTGTGCTAGACAAATTGGGGCAATTTAAAGAGGTTTCACTGTATATTTATTGTAAATGTTGACACTTTTTTCGATACGTATGTTTTAACATTATTGATTGCTCATATTGTATGACGTAAGTTAAGAAATACCATTACAAAAATGCTTTAAATTTCAAGATTTAAAGAAGGGTTTATGTAAAATGAATATTATTTTTACCTCTCACATATTTTCATATCTTTTAATAACAATGGTTTTTCAGTTGTTCTAGTACCCTGTTATTTTGGTAAGTGAAATACTGTTTCCATGACAACAAAATGGTAAAAAAGAATAAGAGAATAACGAAGTGTCAACAATACCATAACTCTTATAAAACTAGGTTAAAATATAAACAAATGACGGATGTAAGAGTAAGATCTTTTATAGCTTATATGTTATGTTAGTGATGACAGTGTAAATATGTAGAACATTTACTTTAATATGTTTTCTCGTAAACTACAATCAATGTTATTTTAGTAATGTCACAATGAGCATGGTTGTCGTCGTCATTGTTTGTCAAAAATCTTTTAATTTTTACATTAACATTTTTCTATAAAACTAGTAACTTTCGTAGGAAAAGGACCATATCACATATTCTAACTAGTGATGATTACGTACGCCTTAAATCTAATGAAAGTGCTATTTTCTTCATTAATGCGTTCAACGTGCTTTTCGAAACCATTAAAAGTTTTATGTGTTGTGCTTGATATTGGTCGAAAGTGGAACTAAGTGTTTGTCATGTCTTTTTTAGAGGTGCAGTTTGTTCTGCATGATAATATATATAATATATTTATTGAGAGAAATATTCCGTCACGTGAGGCTTTGCTACGAATTATGTCCAATCGAAATGTGCGAGAAAACACCACAGGATGAAATTAAAAAATCTAAATCTAACACCTTTATTTGGATAACGGGTTATGTACCTATATATTGTCAAACTATCGTAAATTAGCCCATCAACATGTCAAAGTAAACCTAATAAGTTCATATATGACCTCTCCAGTGTATCGATATATACTGAAGGTGGCCATTTTTGCTGTTGTGTTGTATCCCCAATGAAAAAGAGTTCTAATATGTTGGTTTATTTCATATCGTTATAAATAAATACACACAAAAAAAGGGTTTTTTCCAATTGAATATGTTTTTGTTCAAACTTACATTTTCGTCACAGGATTTGACCCAGAAACATAAAAAATAAAGCAGTTAGCTTATACATAGATCTGCTGGTCATACTATTTGTTATGTCAATACTTTGCTTCAACATTACATGGGATTAATGATATGCAAGCTATAATCGATTTTGTATGAATATAAATGAATAACCAAATTTAACAGGTAAACATTTTTCTAGACCGGTATACACTAGTAAAATGGTGGAGTTGTCTACCTCATGCAAATCTATGGAAAACGACTCGGCGTTATGTCGTTACAAACAACCAAAGCTGTTCAGAAAAGGCAGAATCTTTTATAATCAACTGTAAAGGTATGTTTACTTATTGAAATGCAATGCGTTGTGCTACACTTAAAGCAGCGTTTCCAGATTAATAGCGAAAGATGCTTATATTGTTTTGTCATGAAAATACGTACATTTACCTAAAGTGTTTTTCTTATTATATCATATCTTATCATATTATTATACTCATGAAGAAATAAACTTTATACTTTAATAAGCTGTGTCATTGTGTATGAGATTGTGAAAGGATGAAGAAGAAATAGATATTGGGCTTAATAGATGAATTATATAATATAATACAGATTAGTATACTGTATGTATAACAATATGTATTAAGGATTCCTGTACCTCTGATAAAAACTGTAACTATGAAATGAAAACCTTTATCACCTTCACGGCAATATCTTTAATTTGAGAAAAGGATCCAATACATTACGGAAAGTTTAAAAAAAGAAACATCGACAACAGTGTGTGCCGAGAGTAGGAATTTGAATCCTGGACCTCTTAACTCAACACTGACGCCGGTAACCATCTAAGCTACCTGGTCAACAGTATCATCCTGGCAAAGTCACACTTCTAATGCATCAATAACGAATTTAAATGGATTCTTCTGTATGTACGAATAAATAGAGTTCTCTAGTAATCTGCCTGTACTGGGACAGGGGTCCTTAAAAACAGATAAGCTTCTCCTATTCATATCGGTAAAAGCTTACTTCGACAAGTCTTCAACACGTCTTCTTCACTGTTAAGTAATGTTTTGCATGCAGTTGTCATTTACACAGTATCCTATTACAAACGTCCTCATGTATCTTGTCTGCCTTTTATCACAGTTCACTTTCCCTCCTGACATCTCCAAAGTCGTTTTGAACGACTAATGTTTGTGTCTCTCACAATGACAAGATTTACTAAGTTGCAAATGTTTATCTCAGTCTGCCTTCCATACATTTTAGGGAGTGTTGACCGTGTATGGTCTCCGTGTGGCTCTCTGACCGAGTTGCAGACCCGGTAAGAAGAACCAATATGGCCGCCGCCTGTTGCTGTTTCCACGGCTCCTGCCTCCGGACCGAAATATCTGTAGGAAATGGGCGGCAATTGCTCTCTCCCTGGAATTGAGTAAAGGAGCGGAGGCGGTGGTTGTTTCGCCCTGTACCACCTCATTCTGCTCTCCTTGAACTGGTGACATATCAGTGGCCTGTGACAAAACAAATCAAGATTTGTAACTGATAATGTCCTTCTAAATGACACAGGTTCGGTGTCATAAGAAACGGAATACTGAAGAGTGATCAAAACCTGAATTTAGACGACCTCAAATTAATGAAACAAGAGCAAAATATGAAAACAAATTGCATAGATTTCAAGGAGAATCAGATCGCGCGTCCTACAATGGTCTTCTTCATCGAAAACTACCCTCTCTGTAGATCTAGGTCAAATCACAGTAATTTTACGTCTTCAAAGTGATAATTTAGATGAAAGCTCAATGCACTCTTACTAGATGAACGCACTACATTGCTTAAATAAGAACTTTTCCAAAGACGAAAAAAGAAATATAATGAGATTTCTTCAGATAAATGGTTATTTTTTTCTTGGGAATTTACAAAACTATTTGGTAATTATCAACTTTCCGATGTAAGCTATAGATGATTGGATATTATAACAATAATGCTGAGTTAGCACTGTTATAGAATTAATATATGCATACCTGTTCTTGCGTGTTATCAACAGTTCCTGTTTCGTCCACATCGTCATAAAAAGCAGGTTCAGCACAATAGCTCTGTAGCGTTGCTAAGGTACATCCTTGTTCCCGGAAACAGCACTCTTCAACGACTCCAGAGTCAGCTGAACGCTTGAAAACATCGGTCAACTTTTCATCTTGTTTCACATGTTGTAGGCCTACAGAAAAAAAAGTGTTTTTTTATATATCATTGTAACACAAATATTGGTTTGTACATACTTTTTCTGGAGAGGTGTTAAATATTTGTTTTTATTGGTCTTCAAGCGATATCAAAACAGCAAAATTTGCTAATACGAGAGTGAAACCCTCATTAGACGACCACATCGATGTCCTTCCAGAACAAATCTAAATATCAAATTCAATACTAATGAATAGGAATGGTACTAATGACCTAACTTACACATGGGTTATAATAAAATCATTTTTGTTATTGAAAAATATATTCACATATACAGCTTGTGTCCCTCAGAAATCAGGCAATGTAAGTGTCCTCCAATATATTAGTTATAAAAGGCTGCTTAAAATGAAATAAAGAATAACAGCTTAAACATTTTCGGTTCTCAAAAAAAGGAATAGTTAATTATTTTTTACATAAATACGTTACGTAAATACCCCTACGAGTACAAATCAAGATGATAGTCAGCATTAAAACTTTTCGAAACTATATGCGTTACCTAAGTAGCTTTGAATAAATGGCAAAGGTCCTTTTAATGTTAGCATCGTTGATAGCTGTTCATTCCAGATGTGTATTTCATCTTATTTCCTTCCTATGCCCTACTCTTTAGGCACAAGAAGTCGGTTAAGATATCCATTTTCATAGACTTTCATCGTACCTTTGGTATTGGGACCAATATAATTCACAAATGATTAGTCTTTGATCATGGAAGCAAAGTGTCATTGAAAATGGTACAGCAGTTTTTGAGAAGACGTTAAAAAGATTAATAACACTTTCGTGTGTTCGACGCGCGATAGACGATAAGAACCAAATATTGACCGCAATGGGTTATATGAGTGACTTAACGCAAAAAATAGATATTCATGAATAAACATTATTAAGTTACTGAAATGCAATAAACATGGGAGTGATATACAGTTATATAAATCTTCTTACCTGAACGTTTGTTGAATGACCCATTACATACGAGACTTAATGTGTCGGCAAGTTGCTCCCCACACATCCGATGGCTGCTTCCGTGTATCCCCATGGCTGCCGATAGCAGGATAATTAGGGCCGCTTGTGCCATTCTCTTACTAGCCTGCAACACAGTTAAAACATTCAAGTTTGATGAAGTATTTGCCTCCTGTTATGTTATAATACGAAAGAGGCCACAGAAGGATGGGCACTTTCTATCCACTTTGAAAAAGAACCACATAGGATAAACGAAAGTCACACATGATCTCCTTCTGAAGAAAAGAATGGCATGGAAAGAAACAAGATGGAAAGTGCTATTACCGGCCTATAAGAGAAGTTAAAACAGGATGCATCATTCTTTGACTGCTCTAAAACAAACATTCCGTGCAATAGCGTATGTCTTATCCTTATACTAGGCTGCAAGAAATCGAAAAAGGTTAAACCAGGATGCCACATTCTCCGAGCGTCCAATAAGAAATCAAGAAAAAGTACTCCATGGTTAAATGTTCTGCTGTCCTGCGAGAAAACGACAGAGACAAAACAAATTATTTTCCTTAACGAAGAACACAACTAAAGTAAGAATATATACGATATTCTCCAACCGGCTAATAAAACACGACCTGTATTAGAATATAACACATTATTCTCCCTTCATCGAAAAAAGGAAGCGCCTATTTGAGGAAAATAAATGTTTGTAGATTTTACTGTACCATATCACCATATCATTCATTATATCCTCATGCGTGTTACTAAAATGTCAAAAGATTGAAAAATCCAAATAAAAGTTATTCTGAAACATATGTACAATACAGAGAAAAAAAGAAAAAGCCTTTATAACTTTATAAATTTAGACCACAACAGACAATCTACTTCAACTAGTATTTTTCGTAAGTCGTGACAGAATAATTTCTAGCTGCAAAGCTACAGCCTACCTCGGAGACTGACAGCACACCAGCAGTGTTAACCGCCTTGTTGCGTAAAACAAATACTATAAATACGAAGAAATGAACACAGCTTAATTTTGGAAAAGATACGAGATTCCCCTATCGGCTTACAGGAACACGATTTGGATTTAAAACAAAATCGTTATTCCTAAAACAGCAAATGAGAAATGGACTCATACTTAGATAATATAGAATATTTCTCCAAATAGATTGCTAGAACATGACTTAACCCGAATTGTGATATAATATTGTCGATATGATATAATATTGTCGATATGATATAATATTCTCTGACCAACTTGATCCTGATTTGCTCGGAACAACGGAAGGAAAACATAAATAGGATAAATAGGCATGTACTATCAAGATAGGTGTTATCACCTGAGTAAAGTGCATCAACGCTTAGGAATGATATGACAGAAATTCGGGACGGACAGACATTAGCTAAAACATGTATAATAATACATATACATGATAGAGAATGAAAAACATGTTGTAAACATCCACTCAAAACATTTGGAGTCAAAACTCAGTGACCATCATGGTTAAGGTTTAAAAAAAAAGGTTGATTTTGTTCTGGATCGTTAGTGATTGATTTAAATTCCTGGATTTGACACGCATGCGCAATGACTGGTGGATCATAGTGTGTATTGAAGGTAAACTTTCCGGATTATCTGCGGGCTACAAGGTCATGAATTGATTTTTCCTTTTTTTATAGTCACCTAAGTGAAGTCGATCTCAGTTTTGATGGTATATTTGTGTTTTCAGGATATGAGTATATTTTCCTATTCACCCTCAAAGCAAATGTTATTGCACATTACTTTTTATATTTCATTATTGAAAACATAATATCAATTTTAATCAAACTAGAAACAAATCGAGTACCAACTACAAGTTAGGTGTAAATGGTGGTTCGTGTTCATACAATCCTACGCAACCAATTTTGTATCATTTTGTTGCAAAAATATTGATCTGTGGAGATAGAAAATGGTATCATCATATATCGTTACCTTTATACTCAGTATTGACAGTATATTCGTGTAAAAAAATGCACATGAAGGTTTCAAAATAAAAAAATCAATGTTTGTACATGGGCTTAATTACATATATGTAAAATATGCGTTATTTTAAATTATATAATTTATAATTGCATGAGTTGAACTGAGACAAATAATTCAGAGAATGTATCATTAATGTTTTCAGAAGCGATTTAGTTGAACAACATCCCACAATAAACTATTGTTTGTGAGAACACTTGTAGGAATACGTGTAAGGATACTTGTGTGCTCTTGCCATTCACTACAAACCTGAGTTTGGGTCCTTATTTGATTAAAAGAAATAATTAGGGTATAGATTGATGATGTATCAATACTGTAAAAGTCCGCTACGAGGTGTCGATGAGAAAGGAGTAGCATTAACAACATTGTATAACACAGCCAATACCTATTGATCAAGCATGCATTCGTATGTTGATGAAATATCTCGTCAAAAAGGTTGTAAGAGTATTTATTTAAAGAAAGACGAAAAAATATTTAAATTGAAGAAAAAAAAAAATAATGAAAATTATGATTGAGATATCTCCTTAAAACTGTAAAAAGGGTGTCTTTAAAATATTTCAATTGGGATGGATGAAGTATTTTAAAATGTAGTCTTTTATATTCTAATTTAAAAAGAGATATGTCTTTCGAACTGTGAAGAATCTGTTTAAGTTCAATAAAAGAGATATCATTTAACAACTGAAAGGTTCATTCATTTTTTTCTCTTTTATATTTCTATATATAACATAGTTTTAAAGGCGACATTTTAAATATATCAAAAATATTAAATGTTTACACTTACATGTAAGCACACTAGATTCTAGCCAGTTTGTACAAAATCAAATACATTTAATCTATATTATTAACGTTCTGAGTCCTGGAGTTTTTAACCAACACGGTAGTTCAAAACATATTTTTGCAAGCTTTTGATAAACACTTCAATATATGTATTCTGTATTGTTAGCGTTCTTGATGTTTGTAAACAAACAAACAAACATATTTTAACTGCAACAATCTAGTAACTCATCAGTTATGCAAGGAAGCCCTTACCGTTTACATTGTCACGAAGTCCATAACTACGATATAGCTTTTCCTTTCCATATTCATCTTCGGCTGGCAGTGTCCAATGCGTGCACTGAACACATCAGACCTAGAGTATAATATTATAGGGTAGATTCCACTTTAATCCACCTCAATCGCACCACCTGGGTACCAAGCCATGATTGTCACTTACTACATGATGACGTCACGAGCCGATATTATTGTATTGATGGCCAATGGTCACCCAAGTGACCTGCTGTGTATACATATACCGTTTGTTCGATATTCGTCCACAAAGTGACACAAGCACATAACGATTAGTTTACACGATAAATTAGCACAGTGTTTGGATTGATTAATATGTATATACATATATATATTATACCTGGTATCTTGCATCAACCAATATCATACATGCAGCATATGTTTAAAAATCAAAGCCCAACTTAAAATGTAGTCTACTACTAGCAAACCATTGTCTAAAGTGACTACTCTTGTGGGGATTCGGGTTAAGAGATCACGAGGGGAACTTTTAGGAGATAGGTACCGACAGATGCTGGATAAAGGTTGATTGTTATATATTATTTATAAAAGCAAGATATATATAAAACAATCTGTCTGTAACTGCAATCAGTCTATAAGTATAACACACACGTGGTAGTGACAGGAATGTTGCAGACAGGTTGTAGTTACAGAGATATTAAGGACAGGTTATAGTTTCAAGGATATTACAGACAGATTGAAGGGACAAGGATATTTCAGACAGATTGTAGGGACAGGGATATTACAGACGGTTGTAGTAAGTGAATATTACAGACAGTTTGCAGGGACAGGGATACTACAGACAGGTTGTGGTAACAAGAATATAACAGACAGTTTGTAGGGACAAGGATATTACAGACAGGTTGTGGTAACAAGGATATTACAGACAGATTGTGGTAACAAGGCTATTACAGACAGATTGTAGAGACAAGGATATTACAGACAGGATGTGGTAACAAGAATATTACAGACAGATTGTAGGGACAAGGATTACAGATAGATTGAAGAGACAATGATATTACAGACAGGTTGTATAAACAAGGATACTTTAGACATGTTGTAGTAAGATGGATATTACAGACAGGTTGAAGTAAGAGGGATATTACAGATAGGTTGTAGTAAGAGGGATATTACAGACAGGTTGTATTAACAAAGATATTACAGACATGTTGTATTTAGAGACAGATTGTAGAGACAAGGATATTACAGACAGGTTGTGGTAACAAGAATATTACAGAAAGATTGTAGAGCAAGGATATTACAGACAGGTTGTGGTAACAAGGATATTACCGACAGATTGTGGTAACAAGGCTATTACAGACAGATTGTAGAGACAAGGATGTTACAGTCAGGTTGTGGTAACAAGAATATTACAGACAGATTGTAGGGACAAGGATTACAGATAGATTGTAGAGACAAGGATATTACAGACAGGATGTGGTAACAAGAATATTACAGACAGATTGTAGGGACAAGGATTACAGATAGATTGTAGAGACAAGGATATTACAGACAGGATGTGGTAACAAGAATATTACAGACAGATTGTAGAGCAAGGATATTACAGACAGGTTGTGGTAACAAGGATATTACCGACAGATTGTGGTAACAAGGCTATTACAGACAGATTGTAGAGACAAGGATGTTACAGTCAGGTTGTGGTAACAAGAATATTACAGACAGATTGTAGGGACAAGGATTACAGATAGATTGTAGAGACAAGGATATTACAGACAGGATGTGGTAACAAGAATATTACAGACAGATTGTAGGGACAAGGATTACAGATAGATTGTAGAGACAAGGATATTACAGACAGGTTGTATAAACAAAGATATTACAGACAGGTTGTATAAACAAAGATATTACAGACAGGTTGTATAAACAAAGATATTACAGACAGGTTGTATAAACAAAGATATTACAGACAGGTTGTATAAACAAAGATATTACAGACAGGTTGTATAAACAAAGATATTACAGACAGGTTGTATAAACAAAGATATTACAGACAGGCTGTAGTAAGAGGGAAACTACAGACAGGTTGTAGTAAGATGGATATTACAGACAGGTTGAAGTAAGAGGGATATTACAGGTAGGTTGTATTAACAAGGATATTACAGACAGTTTGTATAAACAAAGATATTACAGACAGGCTGTATTAACAAGGATACTTTAGACATGTTGTAGTAAGATGGATATTACAGACAGGTTGAAGTAAGAGGGATATTACAGATAGGTTGTAGTAAGAGGGATATTACAGACAGGTTGTTTTAGCAAAGATATTACAGACAGGTTGTATTAACAAGGATATTACAGACATGTTGTATTAACAAGGATATTACAGACAGGTTGTGTTAACAAGGATATTATAGACAGGTTGAAGTAACAAGAATATTACACACGTTTTGTAGTAAGAGGGATATTACAGACAGGTTGTATTAACAAAGATATTACAGACAGGTTGTATTAACAAGGATATTACAGACAGGTTGTATTAACAAGGATATTATAGACAGGTTGTATTAACAAAGTTATTACAGACAGGTTGGAGTAAGAGGGATATGACAGACAGGTTGTATTAACAAAGATATTACAGACAGTTTGTAATACAGACAGGTTGTATTAACAAGGATACTACAGACAAGTTGTATTAACAAGGATATTACAGACAGATTATATTAACAAAGATTTTACATACAGGTTGTATTAACAAAGATATTACAGACAGGTTGTGTTTACAAGGATATTACAGACAGGTTGTATTAAAATTGATATTACCGACAGGTTGTATTAACAAAGATATTACAGACAGGTTGTATTAACAAGGATACTTCAGACAGGTTGTATTAACAAAGATATTACAGACAGGTTGTATTAACAAAGATATTACAGACAGGTTGTATTAACAAGGATATTACAGACAGGTTGTATTTACAAAGATATTACAGACAGGTTGTATTAACAAAGATATTACAGACAGGTTGTATTAACAAGGATATTACAGACAGGTTGTATTAACAAAGATATTACAGACAGGTTGTATTAACAAGGATATTACAGACAGGTTGTATTAACAAAGATATTACAGACAGGTTGTATTAACAAGGATATTACAGACAGGTTGTATTAACAAAGATATTACAGACAGGTTGTATTAACAAGGATATTACAGACAGGTTGTATTAACAAAGATATTACAGACAGGTTGTATTAACAAGGATATTACAGACAGGTTGTATTAACAAAGATATTACAGACAGGTTGTATTAACAAGGATACTTCAGACAGGTTGTATTAACAAAGATATTACAGACAGGTTGTATTAACAAAGATATTACAGACAGGTTTTAGTAAGAGGGATATTACAGACAGGTTGTATTAACAAAGATATTACAGACAGGTTGTTATAAGAGGGGTATTACAGGCAGGTGTAACCAGGTGAAATTTACATATAGACAATTTACTCTTACAATGCCATCAGTTTATTTATACCGGAATATTGACATTGAACTATATTTGAACTATTGAGTCTATAGTATATATACAAGTATCCGAAACTACATCATCGAAAATCAATAACTTTATCTCCCACGCCTATTTACATTGAAACGCATGTTCAGAGCTATTATCGATTGAATGTTCTTATTAATTTGTTATATTAGTATACACTTCTAATTATATAGTTTAAATGATGCTAATAAAGGCGTACTAACAGAAAACGTGTAAATATATGAGTCTTTAGAATGAAATAGCAACGGACAAACATAGACAATCGTTTTCGGAGAATTACGGGAGATCAAACAACTCGACCATTCTTACGTAAACACACAGTTGGTCTTTATATAACAATTAACATTCTTTGTGAAATCGAACTTCTTGTATTATTTGTAGCATAACTTAATTTATGCAATATACATTATCAGAAAATATCTTGAACCCTTGTAAATATTTTTTTCCCTGTTATATCAATGGGAAAACACAAATCTCAAACGATATATATATATATATATATATATAAAAGACATAGAAGCACAAGTGAAGAGGAAAGAAACTTTATATAATTCGTGCCCTGGGCCTCGAACTTACGATCCACAACACCCGATAGCCCAGCATAGAAATATAGGCAGGTCCTGTCCGGGGCTCGAACTCGAGTGACGTTCACTTCCGCTCTCTACACCCCTGGAGTATGTCAAAACGAAATTGAAGACACGGAGAAAGCTATTTGATTGATCTCAGGTAAAGAAACCTTGGCAGATAACTGTCTTTTGAAGATTATAAAGAATCGACAACCGACTTCAAAGCCTGTCTATTGTACCGTTACACGACCGCGAGATTCTTTTGATATTCATCAAAGGATCAAACTTGCCTTCTCGTCTCATTCACAAGGTGTTGCAACGCTGGGACTTCAATTTTGCCATGACATATCCCAGGGGTGCATAGAGCGTTAGTGGGCGTAACCCCTGGATTACTATTGAAGATTGTATAGACATGATCAGAGTGACGACTCGTCTATTGATTATATTAGTACATGGATCGCAATGTATTGACATATAATAGATATTGGACACTGTACAATTACGACAGGTAGTTGAATATATAACGGAGGAATAAGATAACAAATTTACACTTTTAATGTAAATTTTGAATAAGACCACTGTTCAACGAACGTAAAATAGCTACAACAGTTTCAAGGGTTCACGTCTAACGGACCTCTTAATAGAACAGTGGTAGCTAAATAAGGGGTTTAAAGAATATAACAGTGTCCTTTTTCTTTCAGAACCTAGTAGAAATACCGTCACTATACTTAATGACATCAGACTTACATTGTGACGTCAAGTTTTACGGATAATTCTGTCCAATCAGATTTTACGGATAGTTCTGCCCAAATCAAGTATAAACAACTATGCATTGGCAAATTATAAATTGCACTGTGTGATTGTATTTATTAAGAAATTTATAAAAAAAATCTATATAGAAATAAGAGTATGAATATGTATGGGATCACTTGCCCGACCACGTGGGGTTTTGCCGGGTACTCCGGTT